GGCACATCATGATCCTAAGGGAAACAAAAGGATTTCAGCCTCTCTTTTAATCCTGGCTTTACTTTCTGTTTTATTGCAGTTGTTCTGAAAACCCTTTAAAAGGCCAGAATTATTATACCCATCTTGCAGATTAGAGAACTGAGGCTGAGCAACAGTGGATCCATCCAAGCCAGCCAAGGGAAATGATACTGGGCAAAAGCTGGATATAGTAGGATAGGTCTGTGGGGACAATTTGGGCTGTGCAAATATTTAAAGACGGCTTCTCCTCCCTTGGATGTGGAGAATCATAGAATCACAGAACCGTAGAGTTGGAATGTGTCCCAAGGATCATCTAGTCCAACCCTCTGCGATTTATAGGAAAACCTATGAAACGATCTGTGAAAGTGGCTGTCTGGTCTCCTCCTAAAATCCTCCAGAGATGAAAAACCGACAATTTCTGTAGGTAGATAATTCCACTGTTAGGCACATCTTACCATCGGGAAGTTTTGCTTTTTATTTAAACAAAATCTGGAAGCTCCAACTTCTTTCCATTATTTCTGGCCCTAGTTTCTATGACTGCAGAAAACAGCTCTTGACCATCTTCCCGGTATCTTCCTTTCATGTACCCCAAAACAGTTATCATGTCTCACTTTGGTCTTTTTTCCAAACTGCCTGTCTTCGTAGGACATGTCCCTGCATCATCTTTGCCAAACCTGTCACTATCCTTCCAGAAATGGGATGCCCAGAATTGTCCACACCACTTCAGTTGGGGTCCCACCAGCACCGAGCATAGCGGAAAAAGGACAAATCAGATGTCTTTGACATTATGTTTCTTCTAATACAGCCCAGAAGATGCCTTAATTTTGATTCCTGCCCTCAGCAGGATTCAGACTAGATTTTATTTATTTATTTATGTAAATTTATTATTATTATAATTTGGTGTTTCTCAACCTCAGCAAGTTGAAGATCTGTGAACTTCAACTCCCAGAATGTAATGGTATGTGGGAAAGATCTTGGGAGACAGAGCGAAGAGACGCTGCCTAGGGAACAGTCAGATAAAAGGTGGCATAGCCCTCAGCTGCATAATGGGTGGAGAAAGAGGCTCAGAAGTGACCCTCCTTAACTTCACGGGCTGTAAAGGAGACAGCGGGAGAACTGTCCTTTCAGACTTGCAAGATTCTGTTAATGTAGCCTTACAATAAAGTAGAATGAGCTCATCTGTTTCCTGTCTGGTCTAGCTGGTAATTCCCCAGCCAGCATGTGTGGACTTCAACTCCCAGAATTCTAGCTGGGGAATTCTGGGAGTTGAAGTCCACACACCTTCACGTTGCTGAGGTTGAAGCACTATTATAATTTATTAGGTGGCCTGAAGATTGACTTCTAACGCAAGAATTCTATCAAACAATAAGACTTCCTCCACTTTGCTGCCATGAGAAGCTCTGTCCTTTCTCCCACACGCTCTTCCCCTTTTCCATCCTGGCTATTCTCATTTCCTTACCAGCAACACCCTCACGGCCATCATAGCGGCTGCCCCCGTGGAGACCGTGCAGTCCATCAAAATCACGTGATCTTCACTAATGTCCTTTGGGAGTCTCAGGTAGTGGAGCTGGAGGGGAGAGACAGACATCAGGGTGCAAACAAGGGGGAGGCGGGATCGGTGCCATCTTGACTTTTTTGCCACCTTCCCCCCCCCACCCATGGATGGCCTGCACCTTTCCCTGTTTAGCCACGTTGACCTTCTGGAGGAAAGGAAGGAGATAAACCTAGCAAGTGAATAAATAATGAATAACATTGCTAAGAGGTCATGAATCGTTCTCGGGCTTCCTCGTCCTTTCTTAGTCTCTGGCGCTTCACCTCTGGCTCCCCTGTGTATCGGTTCGTCTGAATCAAGATTGTGCCGATCCGGACATCCTTGCAGACAGCCCGCAGGGCTGGTTCCATGGTCTCTCCAGCCCTCAAAATGGACACCCCTGTAATCTGGAAGAGACAAGGTGCAATTCTACCAGCCTTTCTTACAACCAGGCCCTATTTGCTTTCTGTCTTCTCGGGCTTAGATAAAAGCTTGGACACCGACTCTTCTGGTCGCCTACCCTCAGAGAGCCCTCACCTCTAGGTAACCCAAACTTTTAGAAACAAAACAGAACAAAATCTGTAGCTCATTGCTTCTTTTTCTTTTCAGACTGTGGACATGTTTTATTTATTTATTTAGCCGATTTATACGGCCGCCCATCTCACATACCTGGGTGGTGTACAAACACACAAAATTAGAGCTATCGAACAAACAAAATGAGCCTAGACTTAACACAAGTGAATTCAGAGCTTCTACAGAGTTATAAAAACACCAAATCTAACACCGTTTTAAAATCTCTCTCTCTCTCTTTTCAGCCACTGACAGCCACAGAGATAGTGATATTATCAAATCATTGGATGGGGCATTTTCAGTACATTTCCTACCCTTTTGGGTGGCTCTACAACTATATGTTTTCACTTTCTGCTCTGAATTCATGTGGGCATTGGTCTAGAAATGTCAAGAATCTCCTGAGGCACTCCTGATTTAAATGGTAATTTCTAGTATTTCAACATGTGGGAGTTGCAACAGCAATTCTGGATGCGCCTTGCAAAAATGGGGAGGTTTGACCTAAATGCAGAATGCCAATGGTAGACAGAAAATGTGCTAACAAATAGACATTTCCTGTTGACTTGTCCTCAAGGGTCTTTGGTTGGTTGGACTTACTTGCTTCCCGCTATATGTGCAACCTTCATAGTCCTGGCCTTGTGGGGTCTGCACTGTGCAGCTCTGGAAAAGAAGACACCGAAAGAAGAAAGGCATAAATTAATATAGGATTTGGGAGGGAGCTGAGAAGAGCCAAGGAGCTCCAGAACTTTTTGTGCCAGAGAACAAGGAACTTTGAAGATAGCGAATGCATGGATGTACAAGAAGCCATTTCTCAGGTTCGAGGGCAATGGGCAAATCTGTTGCCCTTTGGAGGTCCTCCTAATGCCAGCCATTAGGTCTACCAACCCATCGCTCCTGCCGTGAGAGTCAGAAGAGGTGGTGCACCCCAACCATGAAGTCCTACCACGAAGAGATTCACAAAGGATAGCTCGGGAAGTTTCTCACATTGTGCCTTTAAAAGGCCACCTATTCTGAAAATTCATAACACTGTATTCCACACCTTTGTCTGAGCTCTAGGATGCTACAGCTGGAATAAGCCCTATATAACAATTCAGGTGTTGGCTCTCAGCTGCCACCGAAAACCCCTTTTGGTTCAAGAGGTTTTGCAGATCCATACGATCTGTTCACTGCCACCCAAGGGGGAAGCTTGCACCCTGCTGGGAGAAACGTGCTATTTTTATGCTAACGAGAGGGATAATATTGAACAAAAGACTTGTGAGGAAAATAACCTTTGGGTGAAAGAAGCAAATTTTTAGAGGCCTCAGATGAATGGGATCGCCTTAATAAAATTGAAGCATAAAAGAATGTGCGGCATCCTTGAAGCTGCTGTGAACTAGGCTATACCAAAGATCTCCAGCTTTTGGGATTGGACTTAATTTACTTCCCTAATGTCCTGATTTCAGGGCATGGGGGACACAACTCTTACAGGGAGTCCTAATAGTTGTTCTTGTACTACTTTGAAGGTATTTCATAATCATCCTCATAATTTAAAGAGTTGCTGGGAGTGGGGTGGCATATAAATTCAATAAATTATTATTGTTAAACTTCTACGCTGCCTGATTCTTAACCACTCTGGGTGGCTCACGACAACCAACTGAAGAAATTGCAATAAAATCAATAAAAGACAAAACGTAAAAGATGGCATGTGGGAGGAAGCGAGGGTTCTTACTCTCCCTTGCCAAAGGCCTGGATGAACAGCCAGGTTTTCACAATTCTTCTAAGCCACATTTCTTTAGATAACAAACACCCTTTATTTATTTAACAATATTTAGGTATTCCAGTTGGACCCTGGGTTGGGGAAAATGCTGTAGGAGAACCAGTATGGTATTTCAATTCAAGAGTTAGGGGGTTTTAAAAAGGGGGAACAAGAAACAGAGCAGAGCACAAGGGTTCAGGAATGAAGGAGAAAATAGATGAGCTAGGTAAAGTGGATCATGCCACCCCCCTCCAATCACCTTTCCTGGGCCCATTCTGTTAGCCCTTCGAGGTAGATCAGACTTGAACGCCAAAGTTATGAATACTAAAACTACTTTTATTATAGGGTTGCAGTAACAGAATTTTGCAAGTCTGAATATGTCTCCCCGCTCCCTGCCTTTATCCTAAAGAGAACTAGGGAGAGTTAATTCTGAGACACTTTCTTAGGTTACAGTTCTGGCCCGGACTCAGATTTCTCTTATCTGATCACTGCCTTGGCTGCGGCTCTTCCTCCTGTTCCTCAAGGTGATTCTCACAGCCCATTACATCTTCCTTAGAGAAGGAATAAAAACTTCACCACAGCCATAAAAATGCTAGGAAAGCAACTGAAGGTGGATAACAAGAAGGGATACTCGGAGGCGAGAAAAGCTATGGGAAGCAAGGTCAAGAAAAATACTTAGAAAGAGCGCACAAAACATGAACATGAAGTTCTAACTTCTAACACATAGTCTTGATATGAATAAAACTGTTGTCTTTGTAGTGTCACCTTCATTCCCTCGCAAACCCTGATCTCATCAATTACATGCAAACTTTGGTTTGGATAAATCCCTGTGGAGGGGTTGCATTCCTGCCCATCTGAGGTTGGCTATTGCAGCCTCCACTATCGAAATCAACACACTTTGTGCTCCTATAGACAGACGTTCTGGTCTCCATCATTAAACCAACCCATAAAGCAGACTTTTCTGCTGTATTGCCTGCATCTCCCTACCTGGAAGGGGAGAAAAGATAACGCATGCTCAATTAGAAGGCGCATCAGCCGTTTGGAGTAGAAAATAAACTCATCCCGGCTTGTCTCCTTGTTTCTGAAAAGAGAAAAGGGGTGGGACAGATATAATCTTGGTGGGGGTGACCTTGGGGAAGACCAAAGAGGGGGCGCTATGGCATTGTGAGGGCATTGCTTTCAAAATTTCTAAACTTTGCAAAAAGGCCACTGAAAATGTAAATAAACCAGAATACAGATGAGCAATTATGTCTGCTGGGATTTTCTCATCTGTGGCACTCAAGACCATTTTTGTGGCTTCAAAGAACCCTCCCAAGATAGAGCCCCAGAAATCTGGGAGCAATAATATCCATACAGACTCCACCTTGGCCCTAATTAAATGAACCCTTAAAACCAGCTCTATCCTCCGCCCTGGGTCAGAGGGGGTAATGGACCCCCTCTGCAATACGCTGTTTTGGTTTTTTCAAATGAGTGTTGATGTCTTTCTGGACTTCCTCTTTGGATGGTGTAATTCTTTGTTTTAGGTTGTTTATTTCCTGGAAAACGCCCAAGTCCTGATAAAGGGGGGCAGCCTATAAATTGCATAAAAAGCATTGACTGAGAAACCCTTGCAAGTAGCAAAGTAGCACGCTAGGGAAATTCTAATGGAATGCTACCTCTGTTGCACTAGGTTTCTACACGCTCACGGATGTAGAATGCTTCTCTCTGTTTTTTTTGTTTTAAAAAAAATATTCTCCCCCCCCCCGAAAAAAACCCTGAGGTTAGAGGAGGATAGAGGGAGGGAGAAGAAGGAGAGGGCGGATGTTTGCACAAACTCTGTGGCCGAAAACTCACCGGATAATGGTGTGCATTCCCTTGACCTGCGGGGTGTTCTTCAGGACGCTGAGGGTCTTGGGGAGAGGGTGGCACTGGTGAGCAGAAGCCAGCGCTGCCCTGCAAACGAAAGGGATCTGTGGGTCAAGTCGAAGACAGACACCCATTCCTTCCCAAGATCTTCTCCTTGTCCCCATCCGAACAAACCACGCAGACATCTGGCCATCGGTCACACCTCTCTTGCACCACCCAAACAAGGAAGCATCTTGGGCCTTCCTCTGAGCTAAGCACAGGTCGCTCGCCACACTAACCGGGTTAAGCCTTCTAGAACATCACCGCTTAGGACGGACTGGCCTGTAAGAAGTAGGTTTACACCACTTCTTCTTGCAAAGAATCCCGAAGCAGTTTCCAAATCCAGGTAAAAGCAGAATTAAAAAAACAACGTGGAAGAAACCAAAAAAATGATCCGTTAAAAGATAGGAAGAGGTACAGGGGCTGGTCATGGCTCATTCTGAAGGGCTGGTCTTTAAAAAAGGCCCAGAACACAACCACATTACAGCTGGCACAGTGCAGCAGGAATAGCATTCCATAGCATAGGGGCCACTGTGGATAAGACCCTCTTCAATATCATCCAGCAAGAGATCAGGAGTTTGATTTTGTGGTCCACAAAGGTTCTAGTCCATGTTATGCAAGCATTTCATCTCAGAGACTCTTTCTCCAACATGCAGAAGGAGCCAAGGACAGGGAGCAGATTGGCAGACCCAAATAGGGTGGAGAACAGCATTTGGGTACTAAACAGGCTTACAAAGACCTAACAGCAGCTGCCAACCTAACACAACCTTCAATGTAGCAATGGCTCATTGAAAAATAAAAAAAATCTTGGGTCCTTGGTACTCTTGGAGTTTGCTTTTCTTCCTGCAGAGGTTTCAAAACCTGGCTAGATAACATCATCCATGCATGGGAAAGTGGAGATTGAAAACTCCTGAGCAACATAGATTCTCTACTACATGTAGTCCTCACTTAATGACCATTCGTTTAGTGACTGTTCAAAGTTGCAACGGTGCTGAACAAAGGGACTTACAACCAGTCCTTGCACTTACAACCGTCACAGTACCTTCGCAGTCATGTAATTGCGATCCTGGTGCTTGGCAACCAGCTCGCACTTACGACAGTTGCAGCATCCTGGGCTCGTGCGATTGCCATTTGTGACCTTCCGATCCAGCTTCTGGCAAGCAAAATCAATGGGGAACCACATGATTCACTTAACGACCACATGATCTGCTTAACAGCCACAGTGATTCACTTAATAACCGCTGCAAAACAGGTCGTAAAACCAGGCACAACTCGCTTAACAACTGCCCCACTTAACAAAATTTCCAGTCCCTATTGCGGTCGTTAATTGAGGACTACCCGTATAGCAAAAATAAAAATATTGCTCCATGTCATACATTTTGAAAAAGATCCAGCCCTCCAGGAGATGGCATTCTGTGGCACAGGATGGAGGAGAAGAGTTTTATGAGAACCACAGCAAAATCCAGGCTATCTGAGTTTAGACTGCAAATAATGATAAAGGGAGGGGATGAATCATATCGACAAGACCAACTTGGAAGATTGGCCAGAAATTTGAAAAAGTTAAAGCAGTGTTTCTCAACCTTGGCAACTGTAAGATGTGTGGACTTCAACTCCCAGAATTCCCCAGCCAGCCTGGGAGTTGAAGTCCACACAT